AATGGTGTGGATGTCGAACCGGCCCTCAAAGTCCTGCCAAACACCACCAAAAATGTTAACAATAGTGTAACAAAAAGGGGGTAAAAATAGATGTAAAACTGACCTCTCGTTTGATGCCGAAGTCGTGGAGTATTCTGTCCTGAATGCGGACCAATTCCTCCTCTTTGCGCAACAGCTTAACAACCGTCACATCTGTGTTGATGTTCTTGATCTGACGTTTGATCATTTTGGTGGTGTGCGAGTGTTTCAATGTCTGCATTTTGGCGATATTCTTCTTGCGATAGCGCACCACCATCTCTGCCCTCTCGAACGACCCCTTTATGATCTCATCCACGTCTTTGCCCACCAGATGTTTGCCGCCGTAATGTTTCAACAGTTCAATCAATTTGTTGATTCTCTGGGTCTCGCCTGCGATTACAGGGTATTCCTAACAGTTAATACCAATCTCACCACAAATATAGTGTCAAAAACAAACTAACCCTTGATTTCCATCACTTCCTTCTGGATTCTTAAGAGAATCCTTTCGGGCATAAAAGCCCTTAAGTAGACGAACACTATCTCAAACCTCTCGTCGGTACTCCAGTCGTCTTTGACGCCGGCGTCGGACGGGTCGAGAATAAGCAGTGTATTGATTGGCACATGTTTTCGACACATATGAATGCCGACGATTGCGCCAAACGAGTGGCCCACGATATCGTAGTTCCCTTCAGGCATCAGTTGCTTCAGTCTATCCTTATAAAAGTCACTGACTTTCTTGATGTCCTTCAACTCCTGCATCGTTTTCACCCAATTCAAGGCAATCACCGGTCGGTTCAGATTGCGGGCCAAGTCTTTCAGTGTCTCGAATATGCCTTCGATCGGAGGTAAGAAAAACACGGGCTTTCCTGTCAATACAATCAGCGATTAGTGTAAGACTTTACTTAACAATAAAGCACAAGAAGTCATAACATACCTGAGCCAACATCGTTGAGTCTTGTGGTGGGCTCAGAGGGCATATCAAACCGGACTGTAGCCAAGTTCGCCCTCACGTTCTTAATGTCAGCCGAATATTGTTTGAGACCATCTTTACTGCCGTCTCTGAACTCTTTAAGCTCTCCGACAGTAATCTTCTTGATGTCTGTGAGCGCCAAATGGATCTCGTAATCCCTTTCCAGCCGTTGCTGTATCTCTACGGCCATCATCGAGTCCAGGCCTACGTCTCCGAGAGTTGAGTCTTCGGGTCGCGAATCGATTCCCAAATGACTGCAGAGTTGGCTCAACACCTCGTCGTCTGCCTTATTGCCTGAGCCCTGATTGTCGGCCTTCACTATGGAAGACAGGACTGCGTTCGGGATCTGAAGGAAACGGTCCAACACATCGAGACAGGAGGAGATGCGCTGCAAATGAATGCCAGCAAACAGTTTCATAGCGTCGGCCTTATCATCGGTGACCAACAGCTGCTCCGCCACAATACCCACGTCGCCGATGGGTCCCCATTGGATGGCCACACCTGGAAAGCCTGTTATCGCAAACATTAAGGTTTGTTATGTATTTTGTACGCAAGAAATCACTATTTATGCAAACAAACCGTCCGCTCGACGTCTTTCGCATATCCTTTCCATCGCAGAGTTGGCGAATCCATAGTTGGATTGACCGCCATTTCCGCGTCCGGCCGTCAACGATGAGAAGGCGACGAAAAAGTCGAGTTCCGGACACTTCTGACGGGTGACTGCATCCAAGTGCTTGAGTCCAGTGAGTTTGGGCTGACATACCTCACGGAATGTGTCGACCGTTTGGTTCTCCATGAGAGCGTCTTTCAAAACCATCGCCAGATTGAAGACACCGCCGACCGGAGCCACGCTATTGGACTCATCGATGAGTTTGTGGGCGCCCTCTATAGTGGTCGCGTTTACGGTCGAGACCCTGATATCGATCTTATAATCCTCGATAAGTTTACCAAACTTTTTGAATCGTTTCAAATATAACTGTTGGTAAGCATTCCTAACGCCGGTTCTTGAGGTGAGCACCAGTTTTTTGGCGCCTCTCAGAACCATCCAATACGACAACTCCAGACCAAAGCCTCCTAAACCTCCGGTTATTACATAAGCCTATAAATTTAAAATTAGATTTTCATATAAAACTGGTCTAAAAATAACTGTATCTTAAATGGTGTCAAACCTTGGAGGGATGGAACCAGGTTCTGGTGGTGGCCTCCACTGTCATCACATTTGGATTAACAGTAATTTTATCGCTCTCTTCATCTCTAATCTTAATGAGCACTTTTCCCACGTGTATACCGGTTGTCATATAACGGAAGGCATCCTCGGCCTCAGTCTTCTGGAATACAGTCCTCTCAATGGGTTTGACGACACCTTTCTTGATGCCATCGTTCAACAGGACAGTCATGTCTTCCATGAAAGACTTCAACTGCTGAGAGTTGGGCCCCTCCCTGAAGATGCAGTCGAGGCCCACGCCATGGAAAGTGATGTTATTGAGGAATGCAAATAATCCCAAATTCTTATTCATTTGCATATCATATTTGCCGATCTCTAGGAACCGACCGTTCGGTGCCAGACATCGCACCGAAGCCTTTCAAATAGCAATTAGTGCAGACATGTCAGAAAACTTGTTAATCCAACTAATCATAGATTACGAAGAAATACCTGTAGTTTGTCATCAGTGAGTGAGTTGAGCACAACGTCGACTCCCTTTCCTTTAGTCACTTTCATGAACTGCTTCTCAAAGCTGGAGTCATGGGAATTGCCGATACAGTTGTCCGCAATTCCGAACTTCTTTTTCATGAACTCTCGCTTCTCGTTGTTGCCGACAGTGACCAACACTTTGCAGCCCATACTCTGACAGATGAAAATGGCCGCCTGTCCCACACCACCGGCGCCCGAATGGATGAGCACTGACTCGCCTGCCCTTAGCTGTCCTCTAGTGATGAGCGCGTAATAAGCGGTGATATAAACCACGGGAACGGTAGCCGCATCTTCGAGCGACCAATTGTCGGGCACTTCCCAGAGATAGTCTTTGTGTGTCAATAGGGTAGTGGCGATGCCTTTGAAGGGAACCATTCCCATCACCCGTTTGCCAGTATCTGTGCGACGGCCCGCAAACTCCAGACCAATCACGCAGTCAAACAGTGCTGATTCAGGGCCCGGCTGTATCTTACCCGACACTAACACCACGTCCTGTCATTAAGTGATAATTATTTGTATGAATTTTATTTGTAATGTTTTTATCAAACTTTTTGTTTAAGAAATTTATGTTACTTTGAAATTAAGGGCCGAATAGTAGACATCACATAAAGTCTCCGTTGGATTCCTCTCCTCTTCGGACATTTTGGTGAAGTATTTGTGGTGAGCGTCGAACCACTTGAGGGAACTCATATCACCTCTGGTCACCACATTCAAGTAGGCGTGTTCTGTGCTGATTGTCTCCTGTTCCTTAGGCAGACATATATGTCTCAATGACCCCCACTGGCCGTCGCGGTAGATATTTGTGGCCAAATCTAACTGTTTGATCGCTGAGTACGGCATGCGATCAAAGTTTACGACTTTTGGCAATTTGTTGTCGTAATCAAAGAGACAGCGAATGTGTTGACCGCCGGACTCCAGGCGAAGACAATTTGTGAGACCAATAATACCATTGAGTGCCGTATCGTTGCCCACAAGCCATATATTATTAGCCGTATCCGCGTCTTTGTTTTCCGCCATTTTCTCTTTGATGGCTTCAACCCATTCATCGTAATTCTCGTTCAATATGTGTATCACTTCTATGTCTTTCATTTGTTGCCTAAGTTTACGGAATAATAATTGGGAGGAAGTGATAGAATCAGTCTTATGTGACACCAATTTAAAGCCATTCTTCTCGGCCATTGATATGTAATTCTCGACTTCAGACTTGTTTAGAATTTCATCCTTTGCCTCGCGATTCAATAGTTCCAGAATTGCGATCTCTGGTGGGGTTAAGACATGTCTGTAAGACATCAAAAGGAAACCATTTTCCTGTAAATTCAATGCACAGTTAGAAATCAATCATAAATTCATTGATAAATTCAAGTTTAAGTGGAAAACAGCACATACTTTAACACAATCTTTGAATGATTTGATTTGTTCCTTAATATTCCAATTATTGACCACAAAATTGTTTGTCTTAAGCACTAATAGATCCAATGAAGACACATCTTTAATGAAGTTATTAGAGTTTTGGAGATCCCATTCAAGCATTTTGAAACCCAAACTCTTCACGTCATCAGGAAGTGTTGATGGCATCGGATTGGCAACAG